GAGCAAGTTGTACAAAGGGCAATAGATTTGCTATATTTCAACCCATGCACAGCACAGCACATTTTGTTTGTTACTTCTGTTTAATTGGACTTCTTTTTTTTTTTTCCTGTTACTGTGGAAACAATATTAGTCAAATTAATATGTGTGGAGTTTAGCAAAGAATACCAGAAATACCTGGATAAGTATGTGTTTATTCGTGTCCCCCCTCCATGGTTTATAAAAAATAAGAAAGATGGCTGGAGAGAGAGAGCACTTCAGAAAGAAAGCACTTCAGATATTAATGCTATTCATTATTTTCAATAGCACAGTTCCTAAAAAGGTCTACCTAAAATCTAAGTTGCTCTTTATGTATGTATGCATAAGGGTAACAGTCTAATTCCCAAGGAATGCACGAACCTAGGCAAACACAATGGAACAAAGCTAAACAAAAGTACTGTTAAGTATCCTCATTTTGGAGATAGGGATTTAAGCCTTAACACCAGTGAGCACTTAGGTATATACTTGACTTCAAACACCTAAGCAGTCTCACAGATGCCTACAAAACTGCCAGTGGCTTAACACAGCTCACGTTTCAATGTCTGTAGCATTGAGGACTGAGATCCAGGTGCACAGAGACATTTACATTCCTTATTGACATAGTAATCCCTGTAAGATAGGCATAAACGATCTGTGTGGATCAGGGAGCATATGATTTACCTGGGTTTCCAAGCACAGTTTCTGGCCTGGATAAACTTTTGTCCTGGCATTATTACCTCGTCCCCTTTTACTGCAGATTAAACTGCATCAGAGAATATTCTATCAGATGGAATATTGTTGCGGTTCCAGTTCTTCAAGCCTTGCAGCTATGGAGTAAATTTTGTAGTCATAGATTTTGAGTGAAAACACAGATAATAAAAGGTTAAAGAAAGGTAAAAGGCTAGCTCCTAGAAAAAAAAAATCCCTGCTTCTCCTCAGCACCAGTTAAGATAAAGAAAAGTATCTGAATTCATCCACGGAGTCCCTAAAAATTAGGTCCCAGAGCACAGGAGCTCTTCCTCCCTCCCTCCCTCTCTTTATTTATTTATCTATTTCTGTCTGGGTACTGAAGGTGTGCCTTATTTGTCTGGCAGTTACCTTGTATGTGGTGCCATAGGAGGCAAAGCTTATTTGAATTTATATGCATAGTTTAATGAATATAGAATTAAAAAAATGCCTCAGAGATATTTCTGAAATGAAATGCCAAATCTCAGAAGTTGTATCTTTATGAGGAAAATTTAAATACAAAACACCAGGGTTTATGACTCTTGCTCATATTAATTCATACCAATCCATGTTATAAGAGGACTAAAGGGGCTATTTTTCATCTCGAGCTGAGACAGGAGCTCTGCCAGATTTACTGACTTGCTGTAAGAAATCTACTTTAGCTGGCTGATCAATATCTTTGAAATGTAAATCAGAATGGTGAGCTTATCACAAGGCTGCCATTAACAGTCTGTAAAATACTTGGCACTGCAGGTCATAAATGGTTTGGTTACAAGGTGAGCAAACTGGTCAACAAAACTAGACCCTAAACTTTGTACTTTTGCTGTCCTACTGTCCCACTGCCTCTGAAACTAGCAATAATCAGGACTTTGTGGGGAGGGATTCTAGCAGACACTAGTATAAGGGTCCAGACTGCAGAGTACACGTGTCAGCTGTAGCCTGAGTATTTTGTTTTCTTCTTGAGTGAAGAAAAGAGAAACAATTCACCTATGAAAGCCCCAGTCCTCCCTCCTTAAACTGCCACTGCAAACCTCAGCTCTCTCCACTGCCCTATTTGTAATTTCTTGGGTTTGTTTCAGCTTGTTGTGAACTGCTCGCATAAGGACTATGTAATAGAGCAAGTTAAGGTACCAGGCTCAGAAGCTTGAAATACCGACGCTGGCAACAGATGACAACGGCTGGTATTTTCCACAGCAGAGAAACAATTCTTCCATTAATACTTCCACATGTATTCGGTGATCAGAATGCCAGCTGCCATGGTATTTCCATCCTACCTAAGATGCTACCGATCTGTCCTGCGTGTGAGCCCTCTCTGTGCCTTCTTCACAAACACAGGAAGATGATGAGCTTTCAAGCCATCCACAGATGGTTTCACCATCAGGGTTTACTTTGTCATTTAGAAGTTCCGCTTCACAGACTCCTCTCTGGGTTGCAGTATCTATCTCCTGTAATTAACTTCTGTTCCTCCCTCCATTTTTTTAAAAATGCTTTTCACTGATGCTTAGAGTCAACTGTCTCCCCAAAGCACTGTGATATTTAACAGCATCTGGAAAAATGTGGTTGGAGAATTGGGACACTTAAAGGAGACACTGCTGTCGTAAGTGTGCATTCACAGTTCTGAATAGATATTCAGAGGGTGGGAATGTAGATGAGGGAGAAGCTATGCAAGGGCTTATTACTAATTAACTGTATCTATTTCTCACCCTTTTAACTGATTTTTGTTTATCATTTCAGCTGGTAGGGTAATACACTAAACCAAAGCTGCAGAACACAAATATAATTAAGATTCAAAAAGTCAATTGCCTGTTAGTAAACTACCAATTGATAATAATGTAAGGGATATTTATAGCACTTTGCTAAATATGCTGTGGATTTGCACCAATAACAGTTGCTAGTCTCCATTTTATCCAGTTGCCTTCTACTCCTTCTATTTACTATTTAAGGTAAGATCACTCTTCTCGAGTCATCCTTTCAAACACTACCCCCTTTTCATCTTCTTTGAAGAGTTCAGCGGACACAGATGCTTCAATCCTTTCTCCTATAAAATGGTAATAAAGTTATATAATTACTAGCATTTCAACACTGAGAAAAAAAAAGTCATAAAAGCATACTTTTGCATTTCTAGATCTCCTTCTTTCTCAGTTTTGTTACATATTTTATAGAGAGGATACAAAACCACCCTTATGTACGGGAGGAATCGGCCACCTTTGGGCCAAATACAGATGCCCTACTGGCAGAGAGCTGGAACAAATCCTGTTTAAAGAGTTAAAAAGCATTTACTAACATGACAGATTTTGTTTTGTGCCTGGTGCATGTTACTTGGGGAGTAATAGCTAACCTTTATGTGTATTTTTAATTATTATAAATCATCTGAGTCATTTCAACCATGTGCTGAAGTGTAACTAATTGCATGGTAACTTTTTCACGAAATGTTATGTCATACCTTCGTTAGGTTGAAGTGGCCTCATAATGCTAATTATTGGAGCTATTTATAAGATATTGTGTATTATCCTGTCATGTGTACAGCAGCAATATCTTCCAGAACGAATTTAGATGAAAATGACTCTCTACCACCTACACGTGTGTATGACTTTATTGCAATCTTAGCACGAGCCTGGCATGACAAGCTCCTTCAGCACGGATAGCGTAGCAGATGGAGAGCAGTTAGTTACTCAGCAGAAACGGTAGCAGATGCGGGAGCAAGGAGAGCTATGGCCCGTGCACACCTTGAGCTGCCCTCTGGGCCGTAGCCACAGGAAACCCAGCACTGGCATCCTGGAAGAGTGCCACTGAAAGGGGAACAGATGAAGCACGAGGGCGTCTCTTTTCTTCTTGTGCAATGACTGCTCTGGAAACAGGACTGCCAAAAGCCACTGAGAAGGGAGGTGATTTATACTGAGCATTGAAAACAGCAATGCAAGGTTATGTGACTGAAATGATACTTGTTAAATAGAGACAAAATGGTTGTGTTCAGAAAATACAGCCTGAATTGTGTCTCTAGGAATTGCCTCAGGAGAGGGGAGGAGAATAAACCTACCCGTCTTGGCAAAAAGGTCTGGGTGATACCTCCCAAAACTGAAGTTTTCTACCTGTCCCTTGCTTCAGAGGGAGGACAAGAGGCAGAAATGAGTGATCTCCTATTCCTCAGCCCTCCCTGACAAGGGGCCCAGGAAAGGGAGAGACAGTAATAAAGCAGGTTTACCTGTGTCCTCTGTGTCTAGGAAGGTCAGAAAAAAAACTCCAAGAGGATGGTCCCACCCCTGAAGCAGGGCTGCAAGTTCTTACAGACAGCTTGCCCTCTGAATCAGCTTGTAAATATACTCGATTCTCACACACCCCTTACAGCTCAAGCTGGGAAAGCAGATGAGAGCAGAGAAAAATATTGGGTAATGGGGCAAAGAAAAATGTGCAGGATGTGATGGAGGCCACCGGATGCAGAGGAGATCACTACAAAACCGCGAGAGCAAAAGGGTGTTGGAAGGTTTGCCAGAAGCCAAAAGCTGCACGGGCTTCCCCTATACATATATATATATATGCTATACATACATATATATATATATATGTATATGCTTGCAGTTAGGTGACATCTTTCCAATGGGGTGGTTGAGGATAGTATGAATTTAGGTGATGATTGTGCAAGTGTTTTCTGCTTCCTGTGCTGCCTCTCATGAATTTTATTGTGGGAGGGCAAGTGAACTGATTTGCCCTAGGACTGGTCAGATAATTACATGCTCATTGCCAAGCAATGAAGTGTAAATATGCAGTTATTTTTATCCATAAAATCAGCTCTTTCAAACCCAAGATTAATTCCACATTATTATGCAGCAATATGTAATTACTATAAAACAGCTTTTGCCCTCAAAGAAGCAGACACTATTCCATAAGAAAACTTGCAGGGTTTTAAGTAAACCATGTACATAGGTCATAGGCTTTGTCCTCTTCCAGATACTCAATGCTCAAAGTGGCAGCTAGAGAATAGGTAGTTACAAGAACCTATTATCAGGCTTAAGTGCAAAGAATTCCCATCTCATTCAGATTTGGAACCAAAATCATATATATTTTTTTAAGACAGAAATGTATTATGTGGGAAAATGTTGCTAAATATTTAATCATCCCTCCCATCCCAGAATGATGGACACTTTTTAGATAGGAGGATAATTCTGGGAAGTCTCTCTGGGGTAGATGTTATCTGAATCAAACAGGAATAGTAACTATAACTGCTAATATTCCTTGTAAATCTTTTCATTTCTTACAGGTACTGTTGCGTGATTTACCATGGAAAAATTGCTCTGCAGCATCCTGGTGTTTGGAATGGCTATCACGGTCAACGCTTGTCCTAAATACTGTGTCTGTCAAAACCTGTCTGAGTCACTGGGAACTCTGTGTCCCTCCAAGGGTCTCCTGTTTGTACCACTAGACATAGACCGAAGGACTGTTGAGCTCCGCCTTGGGGGCAACTTTATTATCAATATCAGCCGGCAAGACTTTGCCAATATGTCTGGACTTGTTGACCTCACTTTGTCCAGAAACACCATCAGTTACATTCAGCCCTACTCCTTCACTGACTTGGAGAGCCTTCGATCTTTACACTTGGACAGCAACAGGCTTCCCGACATTGGAGAGGATATTTTGAGAGGCTTAATTAACCTTCAGCACTTGATTTTAAACAACAACCAGCTAAGCAGCATCTCTGATGAAGCCTTTGAGGATTTCTTGCTGACATTGGAAGACTTAGACCTTTCCTACAATAACCTCCGAAGCATTCCCTGGGAATCTATAAGAAAGATGATAAACTTGCACCAGCTCAGCTTGGATCATAACCTGATAGATTACATTACAGAGGGGACTTTTGCAGATCTTCAGAAATTGGCCCGACTGGACCTAACATCCAACAGACTTCAAAAGCTGCCCCCTGATCCTATATTTGCCAGGTCTCAAGTAATTCCATTAGTTGTGACCCCATTTTCACCACCTTTATCTCTCAGCTTTGGGGGCAATCCACTGCACTGCAACTGTGAGCTACTGTGGTTAAGGCGACTTGACAGAGATGATGATATGGAAACTTGTGCTTCTCCTCCAGGTCTAAAGGGAAGGTATTTTTGGTACGTAAGGGAAGAAGAATTTGTTTGTGAGCCACCTCTAATTACCCAACATACTCACAAGTTGCTGGTTTTAGAAGGGCAAACTGCCACACTAAAATGCAAAGCCATTGGGGATCCCATCCCCATCATCCACTGGGTGGCCCCTGATGACCGTCTCATTGGGAATTCTTCGAGGACAGCTGTCTACGACAACGGCACCCTAGATATCCTCATCACCACGTCCAAGGATTATGGGACTTTCACATGCATAGCAGCCAATGCTGCTGGAGAGTCCACGGCTACGATCGAGCTCTCGATCGTTCAACTCCCTCATCTCAGCAACGGCACAGGCCGAGCAGCCCCACCGAAATCCAGGCTCTCGGACATCACCAGCTCCAGCAAGTCTAATCGAGGGGAAACAAAAGGTCCACCAGAAAGGTCTGTCTTGGTGTCAGAAGTGACGACTACCTCAGCCTTGGTCAAGTGGACGGTGAGCAAGTCAGCCCCTCGGGTAAAAATGTATCAGCTGCAGTATAATTGCTCGGATGATGAAGTCCTGATCTACAGGTAAATGTAATGGCCAGTTTGTCCTCTGATGATGGCAGACAGAGTAAAGTAGGATATGAAATCATTTATTTCTTGTCACTGATTTGAGTTTGAACTGATGGGGTCATTGCCAAGGAATTACTGTTTTCTGATAAATTTGTTTTATATCTGCCAGTGCGTCAGCTCATGTTGGTCTGGCCATCACTTTGCTGGCCATTTTGAGTCACGCATTATAAATCCGTGTCGTACGCATTCCCTAACAACAACTGCTTTTGTTAACATTTCCCACTTACAAAAAAAATGACAGTTGTTGATACCCTCCTTACTAAATTTAACAAAATAAAGAAAACTCCACAGTCTAGAAGTTAGAAGTTGCCATTTCCTCCTCCTGTAGGCTGGACTGAAACATACTAGTGAGAGAGGAAGAAATGTGGAAGGAATTTGGTGCATAACACAGTCTCTAATTATTCTGTGGTTCAAGATTCAGGGTTGTTAGCAAGAGATCTTTCACTTATAAGAAAGACCTTTTTTTACTTCACTAACATCAGTTTTACGCAACTGTAATTGCTGACATTGTTGGAACATTTAATGTTTTATACCATATTAAATGTGAGAAGAGACAGATACTTTCACAAGCAAGCTCTGAATGTTCATTATGCTTCTCCAGTTCTACAATTTTGACTTTTGCTGATGTAAAACAAGAATCATTCTGCCATGAACCTAAATCATGAAAGAGAAAGAAGTAATATTTTTAGGGATTAAAAAGAGTAGGAAACTGCTTAACAGAACAGGAAAATATAGTGTTATTGTTCTTTTCTTCTGTCTTGGAAAAACAATCGATGAACTATCCTAAAGATGAATCTCTAGAAACCACCCCTTCCTGCCTTCTTATTGCAGAGATGGCAATATTAGACATATTGAACTAAAGTCTGTCCTTGGGTATATGTCAGCTACCAGGAAAAGTCAGAATATGAGGTCAGAATAAAACCAAACATGTAAACCCATTGAAAGCAACGAATCCAGTGAAGAGAAAATGATACTGGTGAGGAATCCTGGGATTTGCTCTTTAATTCTAGTTTGAGTATGAAATCCTGGCCTAACTGAAATCTTGGCCTAAGCAAAGACATGGCTTTCCATGATAGGCTTGTAATTTCTGTTAGCATGCAAGTCATCCCCTTCCCCTACCGCCTGCAATGAGAGCTGAGGCAGTAGTTAGTCACAGTAGTCACCCTCTCTTGCCCAGATATTCCTCTTTTTTTTCTTTACTTTATTGTAGCTTTCTCTACTCTGAAAAAGTCAAAACAAAACATGGTGAATACTCAGTTGACCTTTTTTCACTTACCTGTCTCAAGTAGCAAAATCTAATTTTAAAGTTGTTTTCTAAACTGAATGTAAAGTTGACATGGCCAAAATTCTAAGCTATAAATACTTGTAACTCAATCAGTTGAAGAGCAAGAAATAATAAAGAAGTGACTTATTTAGCCACTCCAAACTTTGGCACTCATTGCCAAAAGTAGGTCTACTGAAAAGTACAAAGATTTTTTTTTAATGGTTATTTATTCAAATATAGAATGTTCATTTCCAATGCACAGTAACAAAAATATAGTGAAATAATCAAATCAATTAGCAGGTGGAAATTATTCGCCTTACTCTGGCTAATGTACAAAAAAAGTTAGCCTTGGGACTTGCAATTATGTGGAGTCAAGTAGAAAGAAAGACTAAAATAAAACTAAGTAATGGTATAGTATTAGGAACGGGATGAATGAAAATATGCTAGTATCAGTTTTTCTTGAGGGAAAGCTCTGGGCAAAAATAGTATTTAAGTTCTTGAGCCCAGTTGGAGGAAAAATATTCTGAAGGTTGTGCATAGTCATATGATGTCATGTAGTGAATTTGGCCCCGTGAACAAAAATATTCCTGCAACTAGAAACAGAGATTTGTGGAGGTTGTCAGATGTTGAAAGCAATTCAATATGTCCTATTATGGAGGGTAGGTTGGCCAGGGTAAGTAAGACAAACACCACAAAAGAGATGACATACGATCTAGCAGTTGGAGTGTTGAAAACTGGATGTGCTAGCAGACATGAGAGAGAAGAAGACACTGCTTTGCCAGTCAGTCTGGAGGTGCAACTGCCAGTCAAAGCCTCAAGCAAGCCTGAATTCTTACTCTGTGCCTCCTCTCGATCTCTGGCCACATTACTTTGTGCCTCCTCTCGGTCTCTGGCCACATTACTTGGATATATCTCATTTTTTTCAAAAGTAGAGTGAGGACAGTGCTGTTTACATAAATTTCCCATAAGCACTTTGTGAGGATTCATTGATGATGTGTAGCTCTTTTCATTCAGAGCTCTCAAAAGCACTTTACAAAAGAAAACAAATATTATTTCCCCACATTTTGCACCAGGGAAAAGTGAAGCACAGGAAGATGAAGTGAATTGTCCAATGTCTGAGAGTTAATCAGTGGCACTCACATACATCAAAGCCAGCTCTTATGACTTTCAGCCAGGGAACCACTCAGTCTCTTAGAGCTAATTAACTAAAGCTGTTTTGCTTTAATTGGTCAGATGCATGTCACTGCAATGAACATGCAGAAAAACCTAAGGGAACACAACTTCTACAGTGTTTTGCTCTATAACATGCTGTGTATATCTAAATGGGCTGCCCCTAAAATGATGAACTAAAATGATGGGCACTTAGTATAAGTTAAGATACATGGGTGCATCAGGGCTGAGGCACACTGGCTATGCTCAATTAGAAGGAATCCTGCCTTGCTCATGAGGAAGGTTGTATACAGAAAAGACAAAAGTTTGCTGTGTTTTCTCATAGTGCTCATAGAGAAAGACTGAATATGGCGAATTCCTCCACCCCACACATCCGTTCAGTAATAATGTATCTCCTGGTCATTTTTCCTGTTTCCATCCCAGCTGGAGGATTCCTCTTACATGAACTATAAGTGGTATGAAAGGGTTCATGATGGTGTGCACTGGCCCCACAAAATTCAAAGGTCAGGGAAGTAGTGACAAATATTTCCTGTCAGCTCACTCCACTGAGTTGAAATGGTATCACAGACTGGCGTTTGGCTCTTAATTCACTAATACCATCGTTACTAGGATTAATGGAAGGTGCATTATTCCTTTGCTTCCAGCATCTGATCTTCTTGTTTTTCCTGTCTCAGGCTGCTGCTGAAGCTAACAGCAGGATTTTATCGGTTTTAGTGGATGCAGGATGCATGTTTCTGATACTGATCTAATGAACAGTGGACTGGATCAGCACTTTGCTCTACATGACTTCCCAAAGTGAGAAGTTGGAGGGAAGGGAGTGATAGCTTGTGAAATGCACTGAAGAGACAGCTCAGTTAATGTTAGCTTGCAATGACAAGTATGACACTTAATTTTGGCATGGAAGAACTAACATGGGAGGCTGCTCAGAGGCAAAGTGTCATACGCTCTGCTTTCCACACCACTGACAGAAGGAATGGTCCCTCTTTAGGGGCAACACAGAACTTAGGTTTTGTGTCTGGACCTGCATTTGTACAAAAAGTACATGGCAGCAAGCCCTTGCGCTGGCACATAGCTGTCCAGCACACTGACAGGGCCACTATTGCTCTGCTCATCTCCGCATGGTCCCAAAGAGCTCTTGCTCCCTCTGACTTATCCTTGTGCTGCTGTTAGTAATACTGCTGCCAAGGGAATTATGCTGTTTCACCTGGAACCAGGCTAAGAGCCCCTCTGCCCAGGCAGACTTCTTCAAGCTGTTTTTGTTGTTTTGGAGGGGAGACATGGTTTAGCTTTTTTTTTTTTTTTTTCCTTTCTTGCTGATATTTTTTCCCTTTTGTGATGTGTGTTGCTTATTCCTTTGGCCTTTTTCCCTCCTTGGCACTCCACACAGCAACAAGCTCTCCTGTGCGCCTGTGCAGGGAGAGCGGCTCTGGGCAGCAGGGCGCGTGGTGCGGCCGGGAGCCTCCCCAGGCCGCTCACGGTCGGTTCCAGCCGGTTCCGACCGGTTCCAACCGCTCCTCAAGGGCTGGGAGTAGCCCCTGGCACAGCAGCTGGGCACTCTCCGCATGCCTTTAGGAAAACAGGAGAAGGGACAGGAGGGGACACAAAAAGAAGGTTCCTAGGCCTCAGTTTTGGACCCTGCATAGCACAGTGGTGACAGCGCGCTTTTGCCTCGCAGGGATAAGAACAAGAAAAAGTCCTATGGAAACAGGAGCCCACATAAGTGGAGAGGGAGCCTGTGCCTTTGAAGTCATGGTGCGCTGTGCAGTAGCAGGGGTAGTCATGAATGATTAACGTGGAGCATTACATAACTGCAACGCTCGAGTTAAGGGAAGCCACCTGGGGCCGGAGGCTTTCTTATGTGCACAGCGCCCTGCACGGCGCGGGACCAAACCTCGGTTTTGGCCATGGGCCATTAGTGTAATATAGAAATTCACAACAATTCCAGAAGATGAATAAAGACGAAAGTGGTCTGTGCAACTTTACTGGTCATGCTGAGCCTCCTGGCTGTATTTTGAATTAAAGCAATGATGGAGCCGCTTAAAAATATGCATCTGGAGTGTGATACAGCCATTAGATTTATGAGAGATTTAGGCCTGTTTTATTTTGCAGTATTTCATACTAAGGGTGATAAAAAAACAACTCTATGAATTAAGAATTACTGTAGCACTACATTCTCCCTAGCTTATAAATTCAGCCCTGGAAAAAAAAAATGTATTTTATATATTCCTGAAAGCTTATTTTTTCAATATGTATTTTATGTAGCAGGCACTTTAGACATTAAAATATGAATAAATGGCTCCACATCTCTAGCCTCTTTAAACAATAGTGTCATACATTTGATTACTTAATATAGTAATGATTTACACAGCTCCTTTCACTGCCCATGCTTTACATACTGGCTGAACAGAGATGGCCCCACCAACCACTGCTATCCAGTCACCTCTCGGTTAAGTATTAGCTGCGGTTTGGCAGTCAGATGACAGTGCAGAAGCATTTTCTGAACAAAGAATAACATTCACAC